CCATCATAATTAAACTACAGTGAGAACAGTTACCATCAAACTACAGTGAGAACAGTTACCATCAAACTACAGTGAGAACAGTTACCATCATAATCAAACTACAGTGATGATGAGATTGAGCAAAACAAGAATAATAATCAGAACAGTGAGGAGAATAATCTGAATCATATTTAATAATCACAATAACAATAATAATCATAATAATAACTTCATGTAGCACTTTTTAAAACAGCTGTTACTAAGAGGACAAATAGAACAAACAAGACAAAACATCAAAGTCAAGAAGACAAAACATCAAAGTCAAGAAACAAAACATTTCAGACTTTTGTTAAAATGATGAAAATTACATTTGGATAATAATTGATACGGTTGTTTTGACCTGTAGAAGCATCAGTTCTGCAGCGTAAAGATAACATACTTCATGTACTCTGCATTTCATTGATCCCATTTACTGGAAAACTCAAAGACACTAGATGTTTTGATGTATTTGTCCCTTTCATGGTCGGTCAATACGCAAAGTCCAGGTACTTTACGTATTGACCGAGTCGGAGCACTGATCTGATACCGGCGCGTTGACGACCAGAAGTGTCACTCAGAAGCTTTAAAGCTCCACCAACTGTTCCGTAATGAAGCCTCATGTGAACTCACGAAATCCAGATTCTTATTTGGATCTTCACCAAATTAAACACACATGTCTGATTCATGTCAAGATTCACACATTTAATGATTTAGTGATGCGTCCCAGACTCAAACCACATCCCTCCTTCACATCTTGTGGAAATCTGTTGAGTAGTTTTTGGGTAAATCTGCTAAAAATGGACAAACGAGTAAAAAACCGAGAGGGATGAAAACATGAGCATGAATTTAATTTCACACAGTTCATCAATGATCGTTTAATGAAAACTTCATCAAAGACAATACTGTGAGTATTTCGGGCCTCTTGTGTACTTCAGTGTACTTATCAAGAAGAAAACACCGAGACGAGATTTATTCAAAGTCCATCAGCAGCAGCTTCTTTTTATCTTTCTCACACGTGGGTAAAACTCTGAAGCATTAAACACATGTTCGTCTCCTGCTTAGTTTCAGTTGTTCCTCATAAATTGGTGAATGAGTTTATCTCCTGCACTTTATTATTATTGTGGTTATTTTAATGGTTATGATTTTGCCCTTTCGTGACATTTGTCAGGTGCTTTTCGTTCCTTTTAACGATTAATGAGAAACCATCGATTCCACCTCTGAGGTCAGTGCTGTGGTCAAGGACGGCAGCTGGTTTCTGATAGTCCGAGTAATACTTAACGTATAATACCTAAACCAGAGGAGGCTCCGGAAACACACACACACACACACAGAAACACACACACAGAAACACACAGAAACACACACACAGAAACACAAGGGAAGCAAAACAGCTGATGTTCAAATCTAGAAAACTGAGACTGAAGCCGGAGCAGAGTTGAGGTAGATTCACTGAACTGAGCTTTTACAAAGCTTTGATATTTCAAACAAAACATGATCAACGTGTTGAAGAGAGCACTGGACAAGCGGATCGTCAAAGGTTCAATCCCCCACTGCTCAAGTCCACATTCCAAAGTGTCCTTGGGCAAGACACCGAACCCCAAACTGCTGCTGCAGTTATATTTGTAGCGGAGACGCAGACATGAAACTGATCTCCATCTTCTCAGACTTCTCTTCTCTGACTCTGGAAACAAACTAGAGAAGTTGGACTTTTCACTGAATCTGAATTAACCTGAAGTTTCCAGTATGACAGCTCATCGTTCCTACATCCCTGGAATGAGTTCTTCCAGCGTCCATTGCCAATCCCTCAGGTTCAATAAAACTGATTCTGTAGTTGTAGATGTGGAGAAGTTTTAAACCTTCTCCCTCTTGGTTTCAGATGTTATTGTTTCAGTATTCATTCCCAAATCTCTGCTTATCTACAAAACACCACAAGACTTTGTGTGTCTGTGTGAAAGTAACTTTTTATTTTATGCAAACTCAGAAGCTCAAGCCTTGAACTTCCTCAACAGAAGTTCAGACCAACAGCTTTACTCTCAAAATCACGTCTGGCTATTTTTTTTTTTTTACACCAAGATCCATAAATTATTTTCTGAGAAATCAATGAAAAAAGTCGTGTTTCACAACAGCTCAGTTTAACAGGTTCTCTCCGGACTCACATCCACCACGAGTCACAGAAATCTGTTGACTCTGTGTAATCTTGACAAACATAAAGCAAACAGACACGGAGGTGAAAACACAACCTCCTCGGTCAGAGGCGACGATCGGGCTGGAGTTTAAAGTTCAAGACTCTGGAGATCGTTTAGTAAAATGACACAAATACGTCCTCCCAGTATGTTTGTATGTGACCTCTGACCTCGGTCTGACCTGACAACCTCCTGCACAGCGTTAGTATCATGTGTCTCTTTCATTTCTCACTGAAATCACTGATCTGAGATCAGCCAGGATCTCCATAAATCCAGCAACCGCATGTCGATGTCAACAAATCTGACCCCAGTCAGTGAGGACGCTCTGGGAGACGCTCAGTG